TGTCCGTCATAAACTTCATGACGGAGTTATTTTCGGCAATAACACCGATCATCTTAGAATTTTCATACTAAATACGTATTCTGAAAATGAAATTGTATATATCTACAGAGCTGATCAAATATTCTGATAAAGGAAATAACTCATGATAATGAATATAAAAAACAAAATAATCCGACGAGGAATTTTTGAAGTTCAGAGGCTGCGGGCTAGGAACTAGTATTTCCAGGTTAGTGAAACAAAAATTATATGGTCAAGGTCACACAAGTTGGCGTTTTAAATCAAATATGAGCCAGTGTTTTAAAAAAGAATTATGTGCTGAGTTTTTCTCAATTTACTTCAAATTAGCAAGTTTACTTTCCTATGGACCTCGTGAACAGCATCATGAAGAAAACATGTTTCCCTCGTCCAACATGATTCAGCGTACCAAGAGCTATCCGAGGAAAATGCGCGATGGATATTAATTGTTTGATGTCATTTTTGTACTTGTGGCATTGGAAAAAGATAGTTTTTATAGTTGTTAGAGCAGTTTCTTTACCACTTTACTACTGCACATAAGATCTTCATCATGAAGAAATAGAATATCTCATAAATAATCATGTTTCCCTCATAAGTAGACCTACTTGTGCCTTGTAATGTTCATATGAAGATCAAACTGCATCTTGAGTGACTGACTACAGCTTTCTATAACAATCACTTTTTCTCCAGTCTATAAAAAAAATAAATATCAGTTGTCAGAAAAATCTTTTAACAATGCAGTGTCTGAATGCAAATTGTAAGGTTCATTTATCCAAGTAAATTCTATACCGGACTGCAAATCTTTTGGTAATATATCTAATATTGTCTTCTATATCATCTATGTAGGGTGAGTGTTGAATAGATATTTTGGATGATTTTGTTGCTTATTTACAGATATAAGTGCATGACTTGCTTCAAACGCTACCCTACACAACATGCAACAGTTATGTGTGAAGAGCAACATTGCACAGAAATGTTTCAAAGTACCACAGATTTTTTCAGCAATAAAAAGACAAATACGTCAGCTCCACTCTTTAGATTTGTAAAACCTATTCCCACACGCCCAGAAATCCGAGACCAGCACCTTCGCATCAACAGCAGAGGACAGAACCATCACCATCACAGACCAGTTACATAACAAGAACTGATAGAAATTTAAAGAGACGGTCCATTAACATAAGATTCCGAACAAATCATATTTGAAATAGATAATCCTGAAGAAATATGTACAGAAATTAGATGTACGAACTGATGCTAGTCTTAGTTTTCAATTTTGATAACTTTAGGAGGCATAAAGAATTGCTTAATAATATGAATATGATTTGAATGCCTTGTCTTCAAACATGTAGATACATCTGGGATGAAGGAAAGGAAAAGGTGGTCTTCAGAAACATCTGAGAAGTTTATATTATTATTTACAGAACACTTTAACAATTAGGGGACAAAGCAGTACAGAGATAAAAAATTGGTAGAAGATAATTAACATTATGAAAACATTAGTACGTCTCAGTTTCA